TACTAAGTTCTTTTTATATAATATTTGATTTAATCTTCATAGCAATTCTCTAAAAAGATAGCACTACTCCCAGCAGTGAATAGATGAGGCACAGGAAAGTTAGCAGATTGCCCAAAGTAACAGCTAAGAAGTAGGAGAGCCAGAATCAAGCCCTGACAGACCAAACTTTGTAATCTACATTTCCAGGTAAACCCAATGCTGAACCATGCAATTTTGTCTTTCAAGCTTGCCTGTGCTTTGGGCTCTATGTCTTAGCTATTTGTCAGCTAAAGTTTATGTTATTATTAATTATTTATATTGTAAAATGTGATGTGATATATTTAATTTTTACAGAATGATGTACTCATATTAATCACAGTATTAGGCATGAAAATATTAGATTTCATAGGCTGTTTTAAGCCTGTGGTGTCTATTGACATAGTCTTATGAGATACCTGCTCACGGATGCCTTTTGAATATAAAGTAAGGTTATCTTATTTTTTGTTATATTTATATTAATCACAAGTGAACATCTTCTTCAAACATATACTTTTTAATAAAGTCTAGAATTCCCGGTGAGGAAAATGTGGTCTACGAGCAGTAAACAAAACTAAGGTCTCTATAGCCAGGCCACTAAAACATCTGGCCTAACCCTTAAAAATTGTACTTCAATGTCTTTTTTCCCACTTTTTTGTTCGCATGTGTTAATTGTACAAAGGGAATTTCATTATGTTATTTCCAGGTATGCATATAATGTACTTTGATCAAATTCACTCCCCCATTACCCTTTCCTATTCCCCCTTCTTTTTAAAACAATTTTAGTGAGTTTCTTTATTATATTTTCATACACACATATGGAACACTTGCATCAATTCATCTTCCCCCACCCTCTGCTTTCACCTTCACCTCTTCCACTGATTCCCACCCCCAAATAGTCCTCCCAGTTTTTACTCATGTCATTCTTCCTATTTTTTAGGTCTAGATTCTACAATGAAAGGGAACATGGGCTCCTTTTTGTTTTCAGTCTGGCTTATTTCACTTAGCATGATGTTTCCTAGTTCTATCCCTTTTCCTGAAAATGACATTAGTCCATTATTCTTCATGACTGAATAATATTCGTGTATGTATGTGTGCATGTGTATCACATTTTCTTTATCTATTCATCAGTTAATGGTCACCTAGGCTGATTTCATAGTTTGGCTATTGTGAATAGTGCTGCTATAAATACGGTCATTCAGGTATTGCTATTGTATGCTGACTTATATTACTTCAGTTATAGGCTCAGAAGTGGTGTAGCAGGATCATATAGCAGTTTTTTGAGGAATCTCCATACTGATTTCCATAGTGGCTACACTAATTTCCATGCCCACCAAATAGTATATAAGGGTTCCATGCCCACCCCTCCAGCCTCCTTGCCAACATTTGTTTTGGGTTTTTTTTTGTTTGTTTCTTTGTTTTTTTTGATGATTGCTATTTTCACTAGGGTAAGATAGAATCTCAGTGTAGTTTGATTTGCAGTTTGCGTTTTCTTTATGGCCATTTGTATTTCTTCTTTTGAAAACTGTCTGTTTAATTCATTTGCCCATTTATTAATTGGATTGTTTGTTCTTTTGGTGTTTAATTTTTTGGGCTCTTTATATATTCTGGATATTAATCCTTTATCCTATTAATTGCTGGAAGATTTTCCCCTATTCTATAGACTGTCTTTTGACAATTGGAAATTGCTTCTTTGGTTGTGCTGAAGCTTTTAAATTTTATACAATCCTATTTGTCACTTTACATTCTTATTTCCGGAACAACTAGAGTCCTTTTCAGAAATGTTACCCATGTCTTTATCTGCAAGGGTCTTCTCTGTTTTCCTATAGAAGTTTAAAAGTTTCAGGTCCTAAATTTTGATCTTTGATCCATTCTGAATTAGTTTTTTTTTTTGGTATGGGGTGAGATCTAGGAGTCTAGTTTCAATCTTTTTTGGGGATTTGAACTCAGGGCTTCATGCTTGCAAAGTACACTCTTCCCCTTGAGCCATACTTTTAGTCCATTTTGCTCTTGTTATTTTGAAAGTGGAGGTCTCACAAACTATGCCCTGGCTGACCTCAAGCTTTGATCCTCCTGATCTCAGTCTTCCATGTAGGTAGGATTATAGGCATGAGCCACCAGCACCCAGCTCTAGCATGTCTTCCCATGCTGTCCAATTCTCTCAATGCCATTTATTAAAGAGACTGTCTTTTCTCCAATGTATGTTTTTGGCTTCTTTGTCAAAGATCACATAGCTGTAGCAGTATGAGTTTATTTCCGTATCTTCAATTTTATTCCATTGGTTTGTTTATTTTTGTGCTAGTATCATGTTGTTTTTGTTATAATGGCTTTGTAGCACAATTTGAATTCAGGTACTATGATACCTCCAGCATTGCTTGTTTTTCTCAAGATTGCTTTGGCTGTTTGGAGTCTTTTGTGTTTCCATATGAATTTTAGGATTGATACTTCCATTTCTGTGAAAAGTGACATAGAAATTTTTATGGGAATTGCATTGAATCTGTAGATTGCTTGTATGGCCATTTTCACAATATTAATTCTGCCAACCCATAAACATAAGGGGGATCTTTTCATATTCTAGTGTCTTCTTTATTCTTTCTTCAATCTGCTATAGTTTTCATTATAGAGGTCTAGTACCTCCTTTGTTTATTCATAAGTGTTTGAAATGGGTTTTTTTTTTTTTTTGAGGCTATTATGAATGGGATTGTTTCCTGGTTTCTTTCTCAGCTTATTCATTATTAACATACAGAAAAGCTACTGATATTTGCATGTTGATTTTTATCATGCTACTTTGCCAGATCTAAGAGTGTTTTGGTGGAATCTTTAAGGTCTCTTAAGTACATGATCAGGCCATCCTCAAATAGCAATAATTTGACTTCTTCTCTTCCTATTTGTATCCCTTTTATTTGTTCTCTTGCCCATTGTTCTTGCTAAGAATTCAAGCACTATTTTGAATAAGAGTGGATACCTTTGTCTCATTCCTTGCTTTAGAGGAAATGGCTTCATTTTTCCCCATTTGTATAGGTTATAGGTTATAGGCTATAGGTTTAATATGTAGAGCCTTTCTTATGTGAGCCCTGAGTTTCTTTAAGGCTTTTAACATGAAGAGATGTTAATTTTGTCAAAGGCTTTTTCTGTGTCTTTTGAGATGATCGTTGATTTTGTTCTTTATTCTGTTATGTGTTGCGTTTATTGATTTGTTATATTCAATCACCTTTGCATCCCTGGAATGAAAACAACTTGATCATGATGTATGGTCTTTTTAATGCATTGTTGAATTAGCTTTGCAAGTATTTTAATGAGAATTTTTGTGCCTATGTTCATCAAAGAAATTGGTTTGTAATTTTCCCTTTTGTCATATCCTTCCCTGGTTTTGGTATCCCTGGATTCATAGAGTGAGTTTGGTAGCATATCTTCCCTTTCTATTTTATGGAATAATTTGAGAGCATTACTGTCAGTTCACTAAAGGTCTGGTGAACTAAGGTCAGCAGTGAGTCTGTCCAATTCTGGGCTTTTCTTTGTTGGGAGAATATTACTGCTTCAGTTTCATTGCTTGTTAGAGATCTGTTTAGGTGGTTTACATGCTTCTGTTTCAATTTTGGTAGGTCATATGCATCTAGCCAATTTTATCCAGTTCTTCAAGATTTTTCAGTTTATTAGAATATAAATTTCGAAGTACTCCTTAATGATCCTCTGAATTTCATTAGTGTTTATTTCAAGAGCCCCTTTCTCATCTCTAATTTTACTACTTTAGATCTTCTGCCTCTTTCTTTTGGTTAGTTTGGTTAAGAGTTTGTCAATCTTACCTTTTCAAAGAGCCAACTTTTTGTTTCCTTGATTCTTTGCATTGTTCTTTTGGTCACCATTTCATTAATTTCTGCCCTGGTCTTTATTATTTTTTACCATCTAATGCTTTTGGGTTTGGCTTGTTCTTGTTTTTCTAAGTTCATGAGGTGCATTGCTAGGTTGTCTATTTGGGTCTTTCTGAATTTTAATGAAGGTGTTCATAGCCATGAACTCATCTTAGCGCGACCTTTGCTGTGGGACTCCAGTGTCTTCATCCCACGCTCTAGACCAAGAACCATGCCAAATTTCTAAAAATTTCTCATATGGTTATCTTTTAATAGTTCTACTCTCAGCATTCAAAGAGGAAGAGTCTCATTTTTCAGAATATACTCCTTACTGTGCCAAAAGAATGGCCACTCAAGAAATGCCATTTACCCAGTGCCTAACCCAGAGATGATATGCTCTTCATCCTGTTTCAAGTTCAATGGTCAGGATTCAACACCAGTAAAGCAGGATTCCTCAAACTGACCCATGGCTTTGAGAGTTGAAATGAAGTGAACATCTTGCCACAAAATGTCTCCATTCCCACCTCTTCTAGGGGCTCTGGCAATTTCAACATGCTCCAGAACTTAAAAATCTAGGGTTTTAAAAATCTAGGGTTACAAGGATTCCAAGCTGTTAGGAGAAACCATTTTGGTGAGCAAACAAACCTATTGTAGGGTTATATTCAAATCTGTACCTTTTGTTGTTGCCTAACAACTAAAAACTATCCAAAGTTATGTATATGTGACACCAATAATCTACACCCTAGGAAAAATATCAGTACAAATTTCAAATTCTTTTGTAATATCTATATTTTCTGTTTAAATCTTTAGTATTTATCCAGGCACTCAGTGGATATTTGTCAATGTTCAAAAAGCTTGCTAAACTTGCAAGCCAAAGAAAATATAACCTTGCTTCAATTTTTAAGATCAGAGCTACCTTAACAAAAAGATTTTATTAGAGAAAGGAATTCACATGACTAGCTGCCAAGTGGGGTGTTTTTTGAAAATAAAATGATTGGTTTGGGAGTGAAGCAAAATGCCAGTTTGTTTCACAGGCATCAAATTCTTTAAGTTTTTAGTTGAATCTGGATTGCAGTGGCACACAGTTATTTGCAAAGTTTTCAGGTTGTGTTCTCTTTGTTGATATTTGCCTTGCAGATCCTTTACCCCCTGCTTGGTTTGAAGTTGACAGAGAGAAGAGTACTTCAACCAGCTTGCTGGTTTGGTGGACTCCTTCTCTTGGAAAAGTCAGTTTATATAAGGTGAAATTATTTGATGAAAGTAACCAAAAGATACAGGAAGTCCAAGTTCAAGAAAATACTTCACGGAATGAATACACCTTTTCAAATCTCACTGCTGGTCATAATTACAATTTTTCCATCACAGCTGTTTCTGGTGATAAACATTCATCTACAGTTTTTACCAATGGATCAACAGGTAAGACTTGTACTACTCATACCAGTAGTCTATAATACCTTTTCACTTTTTTTTACCCTGGTGCTGGGATCAAATGCAGGTCCTCCCTCCTGCATGCAAGGCAAGCTACCCATCCCGAGCTACATTCTTAGCTCTCAATGATATGCTTGAAGGTATATGTTATTCAAAGAATGGGAGTGAAAATGCCCCCATACCATAAGTCAATAAAGTAGCTAAACTATTAAAAGGAAGTGTGTGATATAGTGCAAAAACTGGACTGAATGTAGGATGTGTGAATGTGGTGTTACTTTGCTTGGTATCTTTGAACACTTCATGAGCCTGCAACTGGCGTTTTCTCCCATTTGAAATAGATGGTTCCTCCAGGTCTTCTAATTCAAATCTGGGCAACAGGATAGTTTGCTCAAGTTCATGTCACAAAACAGTTCCTAAAATGTTTTTCTCTTTTGTATATTTTCTTCTCATAACATTGAGCTATCATGTGTTCCAAATATTCCTATGTTTGAAACAAGTCTTTGTTTCCTTGAGGTGGAAAAATAAGTCATCCTGTTCACCCCTGTGTCATGATATCATAGCACTCACCACCTCCTTCCAGAAAGTATATGTCTTTCATGTCACTCACTAGTCCCTCATTTTCTCTCTTGTTTTATATCTTTTTCTCTCCACTTTTCATCTCCTGGAACTCTTTCTTTTGTCACTTCCATTTACTGCTAGGTCATGTCATACGGCATTGGAAAAAACTTCCTTCAATTGTATTAATAGGAGAGACAGAGAACTAAACTGTGATGTAGCTTTGGACTGAGGTCTTTGAAAAGAGTGTTAATGAAGGTTCCAGTTAACTCTTAAGGGTGCTATTATTTATTATTACTATTACACAAGTTGAGGTACACAGAGAAAGGGCCGAGTGCAAATGTTCACACTTGTAATCCCAGCTACTCAGGAGGCCGAGATAGGGAGGATTACAGTTTGAGACCAGCTTGGACAAAAAGTCAGTGAGACCCCATTTCAGCAAAAGAAGCTAGGCATGGTGGTACATGCCTGTGTCCCAGACACATAGGAGCTAGAGATCGGGAGGACTTCAGTCTGAGGCCAGCCCTGGGAAAAAATAAGACCCCACCTGAAAAATAACTAAAGCTAAAAAAAGAAAAAAAAAGGTACACAGAAATGAATGTTTGCATTCTAATTGAGTGTGTGCATATCTTTGTGTGTGTGTGACTGTGCACGCATGCTACTGGGGATTGAACTCAGGGCCTCACGCTTGCTAAGCAGGCGCTCTACCCCTTGAGTCACTCCACCAGTCCTGTTTATATCTTCTATAAGACAATTATTAATTAAAATTTTGGACATACATTTTATCTCACTAGTGCCATCTCCAGTGAAAGATATTGGCGTTTCTCCAAACACTAATTCTCTCCTGATTTCCTGGTCCCATGGTTCTGGGCATGTGGAACAATACCGGCTGATGCTGATGGACAAAGGAATCTTAGTTCGCGACAGTGTAGTGGACAAATCCAATACTTCTTACGCTTTTCATGGGCTGATACCAGGCCACCTCTACAACCTCACTATTATGACCATGGCTGCAGGACTGCAAAACTACCAGTGGAAACTAGTCAGGACAGGTGAGTTCCTCCTCTCCAGCTAAATAAGAATAAAGCTCAAATCAAGTTTATTAAGTTATTTGAGTAATGTAAGAATGTAGGATAATTTGAAACTCATGTAAGTTATAAAAATACTTTTATATATATCCACTTTTCTATGCAGAAAAAGAAGAGTTTCCTTTTACTATAAGGTTGAAGCTAACCCTTGGCAACATTTTTTAATTGGAGTATGCTAATTATACAAAGTGAGGGTTTTCACCTTCCCAACATTTTGAAGTAGACAAAGTTATTTGCTGATAGGATCCTGGCTTTTCATTTTAGTGCAACCTCTCCTTGCTAAGGATTCCTACTTCTGCCTCTTAAACAGGAATCAGCGTTCACTGATGAACAGTGAACCAGATTACTTTTCTCAGTGCTGTATGTAGACTTACTCCTATATGACAGCCATCCCCAGAGCATTTATCCAAGAAAATGTGTCCTGGGACCCAATATCATGGGACCTATTCTCACAGCCTAACTCAAATCGATAAAGTAATCTGTGCTGAGTATTAATAACCAATTCACAATGCTTTCATTCATCCAATCAATCCATATTCATTGAATGTAAGCTATGTGCTAGGAGGTACAGATATAACACCATTCAAGGCAGGTGAAGTCTTTGCTCTCATGAAGCTTTCATACTACTTGATCTGAATGCTTCTAGTAGACCTAATGCATTAATAAATTTACTCTCTTTGTAAGTTATCTAAGTTTAAGATTGTAAAATATGCGACCCTTTAGAAATGACTCTAGTATGGAGTGTTTCTGGAACTATAGGAGGCTAAAGGGAAAGATATTTGGGGCACCTATGCATTTATGTATCTTTTATAGCATACCTCAAAAACGTACAGGCATTTCTGGCCAAAATGTACCAGATATCTTAAGAGTTATTTATGAGCATCAAGAGCAAATTGTAGCTGGGTGTGGCGGTACATACCTATAATCCAAGCACTTGAATTTTGAGATAGAAGAATCATGAGTTCAAAACTAGCCTAGGCTGCCTAGTGAGACTCTGCCTCAAAAAATAAAGAGAGAGAAAAAAATTATATATTTTTTTGTGTGTGTAACTAGAGTTTGAACTCATTGCTTTGCAAAGCTGGCCTTCTACTGCTTGAGTCACATCTTAAGTCCATTTTGCTCTGGTTATTTTGGAGATGGGGATTTTGCCCCACTGGCCTTGAACTGAGATCTTCCTAATTTCAGCTTCCTAAGAAGCTAGGATTACAGGCATGAGCCACTGGTGCCCAGCCTAACTGTATTTCTAGCTACTCTATGCAAAATCACTGTACCATGCCATTTTAAAAATGAAACTGCATTAATTTATATTATGTCATTAGTGAGGCCCCAAATGACAGCATGTATAGAAGATGAAAACGCATTCTTCAAAGTATATCCCTTTTGTCATCATTTTTCTATTGGTAAAGAAGTAACACAATTCCTCTATCTATAATGAATTTTTTCATTCTACCTAAAGAATTTCCGAACTGGAAAGGGCCACTTTAGGTTTTTGACCAAGCTTCATTTGTCAGTAAGAAACATTCAGCATGGTGAGATGGAGAGAGCAACCTAGAGTCTTATGGAGAGATTCTTATCAGAATCTAGAATCCAGGCTTCTGACTGCCAGGATTGTGCTTCTGCCACAAAGCAGAGAGCCTTCCTTGATTATATGGTATAATTTTTGTCTCCCAAAGTTGTTGTTTTCTTCTAATCAAGGAATGTGTCCTTCAGGAATTAAAATATAGATCAGAATTTGGCCACAGGACTGGTAAGATATCCTGACTAAAATTTCTTTTCCATTCTTTGCTAATTAGCCCCCATGGAAGTCTCAAATCTGAAGGTGACAAATGATGGCAGTTTGACATCTCTAAAAGTCAAGTGGCAAAGACCCCTTGGAGATGTGGATTCCTATAATATGACACTGGCTCATCAAGGGACCATCAAAGAATCCAGAATATTAGCACCTCAGACTACTGAAACTCACTTCAAAGACTTAGCCCCTGGACGACTTTATCAAGTTACCATCAGCTGTATCTCTGGTGAACTATCTGCCCAGAAGATGGCAGTGGGCAGAACAGGTGAGTTTTAGGTTCCAGAATATTCTTTGGTTGCCCAAATCATTCTCTGATCCATCTTAGACTAGGATAAAATAAGATAGGGGAAAAACTCCTTTTCCTGCATGGGAAGTGGGGTCTATATGGAAAGTGTAGAGCAGGACCCACATATGCAAAGTAGAGGGTTAATTTCATTCATTTAAGTTATTTAATCAAATGGATTCTTCATCTGCATATTGTTTCATCTGCCCTGTGCCTTTTCATGTCACATCACTTGAGTAGCACAAATACATTAGTATTGATATCAATAAAGAACACATTTTTGATACATTCTTATAGTAAGGATCAGCTAGCACTTAACCATGATTTTCATAAATTATTTTATTAATTTATGTCACCAAACATTTGCCCAGTGCTTTATATTAATAAATTACCATATTATAAGCCTTGAGTGTTGTTAAAATGGATAAGACATGATGTTGCTTTCAAGGTAGAGTTCTGCAAACTACACCCTATGGCCAAACCTGGTTGATGGCTTGTTCTTGTATTGCTCCCAAGCTAAGAAGAGTGTCTTTTACGTTTTTAAAGGGTTGTAAGATTATACTTTAAGGGATCATTTCTATAGTTCATTAAAGGGTTGTAAAAACATATGTGGCCCCCAAAGCCTGAAATGTATACTATTTGGACCTTCCAGAAAAAGTCCAACAATACTTGCTTAAAAGACATTGCATTTTAATCATGGGTATAGAATACACACACTAACAATAGTACCTTTTAATCATGGCAATGATACTGATATTTCCATGTATTGGCCTCTGAATAAACACTTTGCAACTGTTATTTCATTTATTTCTCACAAGAAAACCATGGAGATGTCCTGGTACTATGGCCATTTTACAGATCATTTGAGAAGTCAAATAACTTATTCATAGCCATCCAGCCAATAAGCAGCACTAGGATTTATTTGCTTGGGTTTTTTGTTTTGTTTTGTTTTTTGCAGTACTGATGTTTGGACTCAGGGCTTTGTGCTTGCTAGGGAGGTGCTCTACCACTTGAGCCATTCTGCCAGTCCTATGGTGCTAGAATTTAAAGTACTATTTGATTCCAGAGTCCAATCTCTTTACTATTATAGATCTCAATTAAGAGCTATATGGTCAAAAAGGAAAACTGAAAATTTTCCTTCAAAAGATCAGTAAGTACAAACGTGGAGAAAATGGTTTTGAAGTGGGACCTAAAAAGTACAAAGCTCTTAGCAAATGAAGAAAGAAAAGAGGGAAGAGTTTGAGGTGGAAAGAGTGATACAAGTAAAGAACAGAGGTGGAAGAGCTCACGAGACAGCGGGTCTGTTGACCATATCCCTGGAGAGTGGCATTGGATAAGCGAGAGAAGTCAGAAGACTGCAGGGAGCAGTCAGAATTAAGACTGGGAGGATAGGCACTCTGAAGAGCCACAAATGCAAGTGAAGGACTTGACATTTTATTCTGTACTGTTTGAGGAGACCTTGAATGTTTGTAAGCAAAAGAACAATATAATCAGAGCCATATTTCAAGAAGCTTGTTCTTTTCAGTTAGAAAAGACAGAGGAATGTTTCATGACCACAACATCCAGTATCTCTTCCAAAAGATGTCACAACTGTCAATGTCACCATTGTTAGAAGCAATGTCAATTTGGACTGCAGGGATGGCATGCCACCAGTGAGAAACAGGAATCATTTCACCAGTTGTTAACAGTGTTAAAGAAGATTGTATCACTCTTAGATTACTAAAATGATTTTAGCATATATTCCTTGAGTGTCAAATGTCTTTGAAATGAAATAGGTATATTTACTTATCATCTACAGACCTCAAGAGGAGATAGAAATACTTTGAATTGCAGACATTGTGTTTCTTATCTACTGTTGCCCATGAGAAATAAATAAGTATTCTTACTTTGGGTTTTCATCATATCATTGTTTAGTTCCAGATAAAGTTGGGAACCTAGAGGCAAACAACAATGGTTGGATGAGGTCTCTTGTAGTGAGCTGGTCGTACCCTGCTGGAGACTGGGAGCGGTATCGTATCCTACTCTTCAATGATTCTTTGGTCCTGCTCAACACCACTGTAAGAAAGGAGGAAACCCAGTATGTGATGGATGATGTGGGGCTCATACCAGGAAGACAGTATGAGGTAGAAGTCATTGTTGAGAGTGGAAATCTGAAGAATTCTGAGCGTTGCCAAGGCAGGACAGGTAAGCAAATATGAAGGTGTTAATGATGAAACTTTAATTTGTTCTCTCTCCCAGTTAACCACTAATGCCATGCCCCAGTATTCCCTGAATTTGAGATATTACAGACTTTATGCTAATAGAGTTTCTAATATTTAATTTTGTCAAATTAGAACATCAAAAGTCCTTTCCACTAGTAACTCCATTATTTCATTAAAGAAAAAAATTTAAATGTCTAAAGGATAGGAAGGATACAATTTGAGAATAAAGACTAATCTTTCCCCCAAAAGATGAAGCTTTTTCTGGTGATCACTCTCGGGGAATCATTGCCCTAACCTAATATTGATTAAAGTGAGGATTTCAGCACCAAGAAAGGGTAATTGAAGTACAGAGGAACATGTTTGGATATTAAGGAAGGGAGAATGAGGACACTGAAATATGGGTCTTGGTCACTGTTGTATTACAATTCCCCAGGGAAGTCATAACCTCTCCAAGCCTGTTTTCTCAAATTTCAAATAAGAGAATTGCCCTTCCAAGTTCAAATTTCTGTGATAATCCTGGAATGTGAATTATCCCATACTTCGAGTGAAATTCAAATGTCTTTTCTCTTCATCTTGCCCAATAATAAGGAAACAACTATGTTGATTCAATGTTCTTATTAGCAGAATGTCAAATAAAATGGTCAATACAGTCCCTTAGCTTGAAATTTTTTCATCTTCAAAATACTAATATCCATTGGATGATGATCAAAGATCTATGTCAGTTTAAACCAAGCTATATTTAGTATTCATAGGATAGGTGTCATTGTCCTCCCCAGTAATTTTTTTTTTCATTTTTCTTTTATTATTCATATGTGCATACAAGGCTTGGTTCATTTCTCCCCCCTGCCCCCACCCCCTCCCTTACCACCCACTCCGCCCCCTCCCTCTCCCCCCCCTCAATACCCAGCAGAAACTATTTTGCCCTTATTTCTAATTTTGTTGTAGAGAGAGTTATAAGCAATAATAGGAAGGAACAAGGGTTTTTGCTGGTTGTGATAAGGATAGCTATACAGGGCATTGACTCACATTGATTTCCTGTGCGTGGGTGTTACCTTCTAGGTTAATTCTTTTTGATCTCACCTTTTCTCTAGTACCTGTTCCCCTTTTCCTATTGGCCTCAGTTGCTTTAAGGTATCTGCTTTAGTTTCTCTGCGTTAAGGGCAACAAATGCTAGCTAGTTTTTTAGGTGTCTTACCTATCCTCACCCCTCCCTTGTGTGCTCTCGCTTTTATCATGTGCTCAAAGTCCAATCCCATTGTTGTGTTTGCCCTTGATCTAATGTCCACATATGAGGGAGAACATACGATTTTTGGTCTTTTGAGCCAGGCTAACCTCACTCAGAATGATGTTCTCCAATTCCATCCATTTACCAGCGAATGATAACATTTCATTCTTCTTCATGGCTGCATAGAATTCCATTGTGTATAGATACCACATTTTCTTAATCCATTCGTCAGTGGTGGGGCATCTTGGCTGTTTCCATAACTTGGCTATTGTGAATAGTGCCGCAATAAACATGGATGTGCAGGTGCCTCTGGAGTAACAGTCTTTTGGGTATATCCCCAAGAGTGGTATTGCTGGATCAAATGGTAGATCGATGTCCAGCTTTTTAAGTAGCCTCCAAATTTTTTTCCAGAGTGGTTGTACTAGTCTACATTCCCACCAACAGTGTAAGAGGGTTCCTTTTTCCCCGCATCCTCGCCAACACCTGTTGTTGGTGGTGTTGCTGATGATGGCTATTCTAACAGGGGTGAGGTGGAATCTTAGCGTGGTTTTAATTTGCATTTCCTTTATTGTTAGAGATGGTGAGCATTTTTTCATGTGTTTTCTGGCCATTTGAATTTCTTCTTTTGAGAAAGTTCTGTTTAGTTCACATGCCCATTTCTTTATTGGTTCATTAGTTTTGGGAGAATTTAGTTTTTTAAGTTCCCTGTATATTCTGGTTATCAGTCCTTTGTCTGATGTATAGTTGGCAAATATTTTCTTCCACTCTGTGGGTGTTCTCTTCAGTTTAGAGACCATTTCTTTTGATGAACAGAAGCTTTTTAGTTTTATGAGGTCCCATTTATCTATGCTATCTCTTAGTTGCTGTGCTGCTGGGGTTTCATTGAGAAAGTTCTTACCTATACCTACTAACTCCAGAGTATTTCCTACTCTTTCTTGTATCAACTTAAGAGTTTGGGGTCTCCACCAGACCCTCTAAGACCATGATGCTTGGTGGGACATTTGAGGAATGGTGAGGGCGTGACAGCCTATGTTGCTCTACCTCCATTTCAGTTTTACTATTTAAAAAGCACCTTGCCATCTCAATTTTCTATCAAAAACTGGGGGCAAAAATGTTTCCTGACCTCCTTTTAAATGCCATATTTGAACCGTGCACAATACACCCAGTACTGTTCAGATGGGAAGAAGACACAGTGACATTTGAGGGGATTCCTTACCCACCTCATTTCCTTACTTATCACTTACTTCAAATAATCTGGAAATGTAAAATCAAGGAAGAATAGGGAGCCTACTCATGTTGGTATAATTTTCATGAGAACTTTGTTTGAACTGCACCTCTGCCTGGTGAATAAAGTAACTTGAAGTAGACCTTGGTGTAAGTTCTGAAGTCATTTCTAAATACTGAAGAATAATGAAGCAGAGTTCAATTAGAGTAGAATTATAGAAATTATCTTTGATGCACAAATCATAATATAATTTTACATACTTGATTCCTTTATGATTTGTTTTCCCTATCATCTCGTAGGACCAACACTTTGCTGTGAACAATGTCTCCAAGAAATTCTAATGATAAAACCTTTTTTTAAAATGGAAGCAATTTTAAAAAAAGAAATGGAAGTAATTTTGATTCTTTGTGTAAGAGATGTCCTTAATAGGATGCTATTATTACTTGGTAGCTGCCTTTCCCTTTCATGATACAACACTGTCCCTTTCTTAGAAATGGAGGGAGAAGCATTTGATCTTTCTAAGCTACAGGGTAACAGATACTTCTCTCACTCCACTTAAATAGTCAAACATAGACTTTTCTTTATGGTTTTGAGATGACAAATAATTAATTGTGCTAATTATTTTTGTATAACAACATAGAAGAAGAGATAAACTCTAACAGTAATGTGTGGTCAGAAATAAATGTGTGGTCAAAAATAAACATGCCTTTTAGTAAGATATTTTCCATTCTTTTAAATTCTTATTTCTGATTATATTACATGAACAAAGTTTTTTGTGGTAAAATTTTTATCTAATATTTGTAAGTATTCAAAAAAGAAATGTTGAGCTGGACACCCCAGAATAGAAGAGAACAGCTCTTGAAAGAATATTCCATGAGTGTCTCTGAGTCAATCAATGAGCCAAATCTTTTTGCCTTTTCTTTAGTCCCCCTGGCTGTCCTCCAGCTTCGTGTCAAACATGCCAATGAAACTTCACTGGGCGTCATGTGGCAGACCCCTGTAGCAGAATGGGATAAGTACATCATTTCGCTAGCTGACAGAGATCTCTTACTCATCCACAAGTCACTGTCCAGAGATGCCAAAGAATTCACTTTTACGGACCTGGTACCTGGAAGAAAATACACAGCTACAGTCACTAGTATTAGCGGAGACTTAAAAAATTCCTCTTCAATAAAAGGAAGAACAGGTAATAATCTTTATAAATATTAGATTTTACAGTGTTCTGCCTGTGAATCATGTAACATGCAATTTGCAAGTTTTCATTAAGTATCTGTTATGTACTTGGCATTGTTTTATGTTTTGTTTTGTTTTTACTATTGGGTTTTCTATTTTACCAAGTTAGCTTTTATCTTCATTAGTTCCTTCTTTTTATTTTGCTTGGATTTATTTTGTTAAAACTGAAGTAGAGAATAACCCTCCCAAGAAGTTTTGTTTCAAAGAGAACAGAGAAATAGGCCAGCAATGTGAAGAGGGAGTGTGGTGGAAAGGAACCTTGTTTTTAAAATTGTAGAACAAATGCTTTATCTTGAAAGGGATGATCTAGAAGAAAGAAGAATGATGATGTAAAAAGAGGGAAAGATTGCTGCTGTTATTCTGGGAGTTGGTGAGCAGTATGGGATCCAGAGCACAAGTGAGGGGATTGGCTTTAGAAAGAGCTCAGGTGACTTAACCTAAGTGTCAGCTGGGAAAGAACTAAATGGCTACAGATGCCAGGAGGCAGACAGAGGTACTGTCGGGATATTGTCTTAGAATTGCTGTCATTTTCTCAGTGAAACAGGAAACAGTGTCCTCCTAGAGAGTCCCCTTTTAAGTTTCCATGCTATTACTATTCCGTATTTTATTTCTACTTTTTAACTCCATAAAAATATAATCATTGTTCTACACAATCCTTAGCTATTTACATTTGTCAACCAATTTAACACCTTTCCCTTCATCTTTCCTTTCTATATCCAGAAGTTTCATGTGATATTATTTTTCTTCATCCTGGAGAATATTATTTAAGTTTCTTTATTGAGAGTTTCTAGGGGCAAACTCTCTCCACTTTTCTTTTTTTTCTGGACATGTCTTTATATAGCTCTCAGTCTTGCAAAGATTTGGTTTTGTTTTTTGGTTTTTGTTGGTGGTGCTGGAGAAGGAAACCAGGACCTTGAGCATGCTATGATGGGTGCTTATCACTGAGCTACACCAACAAGACTTGCAAGGAATTTTCCATGTTGAAAGTTATTTTCTCTCAGCACATTGAAAATACTATTCTAGTTTTCTGGCGCTCATTGTTGCAGTTAAAAAGTCAGCTGTCAGTGTTGTTCTTATTTTCCTATGAGAAATTTGCTTAATATGATTCTTTTTAAGACCTACTCTTTTTTTTTATCCATTAGTGTTTTGTTGTTACACGGTAATGAACTACACATGGAAATTTTAAAAAATTTATTCTGCTGGAGATTCCTTGAGATTTCTATGCTTTCAGATTCCTGTCTTCCATCAATTGTGGAAATTCTCAGCTGTTAACTCTCTAATATTACCTCATGCTTCTTCTCCATCCTCCCTTTGTTCTCTTTCTGGTATTCTAGAATACATACACACACACACACATGCATGTGCATTTCATATTTTCTATGTATTTGTTCCATGGTCTATAGTCTGGATAATTCCTCAGATCTTTGTTTCAGCCCATTAATTCTTTCTACAGCTCTGTCTAATCTACTTTTAAATGTATCCGTTGAGTTTTAAATTTTCATTGCTGTATTTTTCACTCTTAAACATTCTCTTTGGTTTTCTTCCAAGTGTTTTATGTTTTTCTGCTTTTTTATTAGTTACATTTTTATTTTCCTCTTTTAATGTCACATGTAAATTAAAATGTTTATTTTACATTCTATTATCTGAAATATTCCAGAGTTAAGAGCTGTTATCTATTGATTTTGCTGGCTTTTGCTCATGATGCTTTTAGTTCCTTAAATGTTTCTGATTTTTTTTAAATTATAAGCTTATATTCCTTGGAATTTTATCCTATGAGAATTCTTTGAGTCCTTTTTTATAGGTATGTGCCAGAAAAGAAAAAAAAAAACCCTTTTTTTATTTCAGTCTTTGTTGTGCACAGGATTATGATCAACCCAGACCTACTTTAATATAAAATGTCAACTTGAAGTTTTTTTTGAGCATCCAAATTTCATGAATTCAAATTGTTAAGATTGAAGTTATCTTAAGGTTAATAATTCTCAGAGAAAACTTTTTTCTGTACCCAGCGCTAAGGAGGCCAGGATGGCGTGGGGAACAGAGGGGGAGTGTTTATTTGGTTCACACTTAGAACACTGTCTTTCAGGGCACGATGTCATTCATGGTCAATTATGAGCTTCTAAAGCCTGGGAAAGTCCCACCCGTCACCTCCTGTGTTGCAATATATAAAATCAAAGCTTAAATTTGTGTTTGAAACATGCCCCTAAATCAACAATTTGCTTCAGTCATCTAATCGCTATCACTTTCAGCCTCTGAGAATTTTTTCATTCCTGACATCTCATTGATTCATTTACATTTTTGTATTTTATTTAATATGAGGGTAGTGTTCATGATTCTCGCCTGTAATACTGCCAAAATTGAGGTCCAAGGCATTGTTTTAGACCTAAGATTATTTTCATTGTCCTTATTGCTGGACCGTGTAGTAAGTTTATCTTCAACTTTGTAAAAATATAGTCAATCTTCTTTCCACAGGGGTTATAAAAATTTTGACTTCACTTTTTTGAGATGAGGTCTCACTATGCTGCTCAAGGTGACCTCAAGCGATTCTCCTGCCTCAGCTTCCCCAGTAGTTGAGATTACAGGTATCCACCACTATGCCTGGCTAAGTTGTAAAATTTTGCATTTCCATCAACAATGTGTGAATTTTCCAGGTCCCTCACATCCTTATGAACATTTGTTATTATCAGTTTGATTGTTTAAAAATTAAGCCACTCTAGTAGCTAGGTGGTAGTATCTCATGTTTCGTGACTTTGAGTATTCTTTCATATGCTTATTCACTATTTATCCTCTTAAAGGAATTTTCTTTTAAAATATCTTATCCATTTTTTAGTACGGTTGTTTGTTTCCTTATCAATGAGTTTTGAACATTCTTTATCCTACACACAAGTTCTTTGTCAGAAGTGTGTGTTGAAAATGTTTTCTTCCAGTCTGTGACTTTTTCCCATTACTTTAGTGTACCTTGCTATATAGAAATATTTAATTTTGATGTCAAATTTATCATCTCTTTCATAGATGATGCTTTTGGTATCGCACCTAAAAAAAAATCTTTGCCTAACGCAAGGTCAGAAAAGTTTTTCCCTAGGAGATATGTGGGTCTATGAACAATTTTGAGTTAATTTTATATATTGAGTAAAATATGGGTCAAGGTTGATTTCTTTGCCTATGGACACCAATTCCAAAACTTACATGTTGAAGAGACAGACTATCTGCCCTTTCTCCACAAAATTGTCTTCACTTCTCTGTAAAAAATTAATTGACTATATATTCATTGGTCTTCTTCCGGACTTTCAATTCTGTTCCATTAATTTATGTGGCCATCTGCCTGTTGCTAGTGTCATACTGTCTTGTTCTCTATAGATTTCTAGTGAAATAAGGTGATATTAATCTTTCATCTTTGCTCCTTTTTTAAAAAATTGTTTTGGTCACTGTAATTGCTTTCCATATTAATTTAAAACTGGAATAGGAACTTCTGGTCCATGTATGACAGCATTTTTAATAAATATGTTTGTGCCTTAATCCAAAGGTCAATGAGCTTTGAGAAGGGATGTGCCAAAGTTCTGAGCTCTTTGATTATTATAATTCCAGAAAGAGGCACAGAGAGTAATATATTGTGACCAAGTGCCAGTTTTAATATCTGTATATAAAATTTGTTAATGGATAGTTGGAAATGACATAGTCACTAGTGAAGAAAAGGTCAAAAGCTTAAAAGTTAGGCAGATCTACCTTTGAACCCCAAGTTGATTATTTGTCAGCACTGTAATATAACCCAAAATAAACCTTACATTTATGATCTTTGGTTTCCTCATTAATAAAGGGAATAATAAAATCAACTTTATAGAGTTTTGAATGAGTATCAAATAATATCACTTCCATAATGTATTCAGCTCATAACTGGCACATAGTAGGTATTCAGTAGCTGTTATAATTATGATATAGTTTATATTATTTTTATATATGATATAGTTTATATTATTGTAGCATTTCCATGTCTAGTAATAATAACCATTTTGAGAATGTGCTCATAATGAAGTAATTAGTTTGCTAGACTGTAAGCTAATCACCAGGTTACCCATAACAGCAATAGACTCAGATTGGTCACATGGCTTTGGGTTCTTGTTGAGTAGGGACAGATAAGGTGATATTAAATAAACAGTCTTCAAAAACAGTATCTTTCATTATTTAAATTTAAAATAAAATCTAATAATTCTGATTTATTGAAAGATGTCATTCAAGCATCTTTGCAAAGTAGAAAAACCTTTATAGAGGAAGAGTTTTTCATATGCCACAGGAAACAAAGTCTATAGCAGAAACAAACAAAATTTTACTTTTAGAAATTTGTCTCCATTTTTTTACCCCTTTTTCCTGCACTTCCTAAGTGTGATTTGTTTTGTCTTCTGTCCTCTGTGGTTTAGTGCCTGCTCAAGTGACGGGCTTGAATGTAGCCAACCAAGGGATGACCAGTAGTCTGTTTACTAACTGGACCGAGGCACTGGGAGACATAGAATTCTACCAAGTCTTACTGATCCATGAAAATGTGGTCATCAAAAATGAGAGTGTCTCCAGTGACACCAGCAGATACAGCTTCCACTCTCTAAAGCCAGGCAGCCTCTACTCCGTGGTGGTAACAACAGTGAGTGGAGGAACCTCTTCCCGACAAGTGGTGGTGGAAGGAAGAACAGGTAAGAAGTGGAGATAGATGTGTCTGTTAACATAAAAGATCTGCGTACCTAGACAACCCCTCCACCCATGCCAACAGAATTTTTAAAACATCATAAAAACAGAGGCCTCTTTCTTTCCTAATAACCAAATTTCAATCCCATTCAGAAGGTGCATGGAATAGAATACTGGGTGGGTGATGCATGACAACAGAGCAGAGGGCTGAGTTTTCTAAAATCTCTGATAAACATTTCAGAACTCCTAGAAAAACCTTCGTGATGGCATGATTATCACGCCATAATGCAATGAAACTACATAGCATACAATATTATTTCATATAATATATGAAATTTATGGTCCAGTTTCTTAGGGAAAATTACATAAACCCAATAGAAGTTTTGATTCTTATTAGTGAACTCAAAATCAGATCAGTGACCTAGCCTACTTAATTTTATGAAATTATTATAAGTTGGATTTCAGGCTTTTCCTTCTAGATCTCCAGTACTCAGATGCTGAGTATCAGTTGTGGGTATCATGCGTATATCTCTTTCTAAAATCATGAATCTCACCTACTTAATAAACCCCAAAATCACTATTTTCATTAAGACTCTCAGAAAATCAACTAAGTCATTGAAAAAACAGTCTCATGGTTTTGGTAGAAATTCATTGATGTATATCCATTGCTCTCGTTCTGTGGCAGCAGATGCTGTCACCTGTGTCTTTCCTGATACTTTTTTCTTTCTTCTCCTTTAATGGTTCTTGTCACCATCCATTGCAGCATGGCATAGTTGGGATAGTTAGGAATGGGGGCCAAAAAGCTTAGCTTGGAAATTAGAGAAGTTGAAAAGAGTTAAGAAGGGTGTGCACCCACTGCCCAGTGAGTTGTGGTTGCATTAGTCAGGCTAAACTGACTTATTTCCTTCTTATCCAACTGTACAATGTGGATGCTCCTGATTGTTCAACTCTACTGGCTGGTTCTTCTCAAATAGAAATTCAGGGATCCAGGCTCCTATCACCTACTGTTCTTTCTTCCACTAGATCCTTCGAGCTCTCTCCATTTCTGCAGAGAATAGAGGTAAAGATCAGGAATAGCACAGGAAAACAGACCTGGAAGCAAGCATATATTTCTACCCACTGACCAGAACTTAGTTACATGGCTAAAATTAAGTACACATAACTATTGGGGAAGCTGGAAAATATAGTGGCTTTGTGCCAAGAGGAAACGGAAATGGTTCCTGAACAATTAGTCCTACTTTGCCACACAGGTTAATTCCCATTTTAAAACACCACAATGGGGCTGGGGGGTATACCTCGGTGATAGAGTGCTTGCCTAGCATGTGCAAGGCCCTGGGTTCAAGCCCCAGCACCAGCAAATCAAGAAAATTCCAATAAAATACCTTAAAGGCTTTGCAACTTATTGCTATGTACTAAAATAGTATTGTGCCTGATAGCACTTGAAATAAATGGGACTTGTAATTATTTTTATACCTATATTTTTAGCATAGCAGAAGTATCAGTATTTGACCCATATTATACAGCAGAAACATTCAGAAAAAGGACAAGGAATTCTTTGAAGAACAATCATAGAGTTTTGAGGAGACCAAAAATAAGAATAAATATAAGTATGCATTATTTTATTCAAATATTATGAGAAAGGAGAACATAGGATATTACTAACTAGGTACAATAACTAGGGATTTCAAAAGGTGCCTATATATTTATGCGGTAAACTATAAATAATTTAACAGCTAAGGCCTTGATAATCATTACCATTTCTTCTAGCTGATATATTGTTCATATATGTAATATATGTACATATTAGATGTTTAACGAATCTACTTCTACTTTTTTGTGGTACTGGGAATTGAACTCAGGGCCTCTCACTTGCTAGGCAAGTGCTCTACCACTTGAGCCACTCCACCAGCCCCCAAGGGATGTATGGATGATAAAAGGAAGGAAGGAAAAAAGAAAAATAGAAAAAAAATACCAATACATAAATCTCATGGCTAAAAGTTTAACTTTATATCTAAGAAATGTCCATATATAGAACAGCATTAGCAGAGTTTTATAAGATGCTATTCATAATTTTTAACATAAGGTAGACTTTAGGGCTAAATGCACAAAGTCAGAGCATATTAGCTTAGACGTCATCTAGCCAAATCCTGCCTTTTATATGTGATGTATGGATATTGACAATTACATGAAAATAATCAACTGAAGCTAAACAACTTATAACAGCAGTACAGTTTATATATACTGTAGTATTTTATTCTGATGCTCACTATGACCATACTGTTTACTAGGAACTTACTTCCAATACACAGAACAATTTTTATTCAATATCACAATTACTAATTTGTCATCTATACATTTCTAGTTGAGGAGCTCCTTAAAGGTATCCATGTCTTTTCAGTTTTAGTACACTTGGCAAACAGTAGATTCTCAGTAAATGTTTGTGGTATTGATTCCAAATTGATATAAGCAAATAATTATGGCTGGCATCAGAAAGGCCATTATCACTATTATGTCTCTCTTCCAGCCCACAGTTGATCCAGTTTCCAGTGTCCAGGATGGGCATTTAGGCTTGTTTCTTGCCACTAGAGGGCGAGAAATGCTTTGCAAAGGGAAAACAGTGCCTCTAGCTGTGTTAGCGATTAAACTCCCCAGGAATAAATAATCCCATCACATGAAGATCAAGGTTGTCCCAAAGTCTGAAATCTTTAGAAAAGCTATTTAACTCCACCTTTCCCTTGCAACACTTTTGCTTTATTGATGATTTTGGCTCAAGTTGATTCAACTGGATCATTTAAAATGTTCCCTTTCCTACAGGGAACCTCCTGACACATTCTCATAAAAATGCCTTCACTTGAAGGCACACAACAATCCCATAAAGATGCAGTAGTGGCATGCTTGTGTTTAAGAGGCATCCAAAAGTCCTCCTTGCAGCTTTACTTTAGCTTCCAGAAGCTGAAGTGAAATCCTCACACTTCCTTGACCTCTTATGTAATCAGATTAGATCTTCTTAATCCACAGTTTTGCTGACCCCAGTAAGTGACTTGAACATTTGATTATGTGTTTCTTTTTATTTTCCGCACCCCTCCCCCGCCCCACTTAAAATCACAGTCCCATCCAGTGTGAGTGGAGTAACGGTGAACAATTCTGGCCGTAATGACTACCTCAGCGTTTCCTGGCTGCCAGCACCTGGAGATGTGGATAACTATGTGGTGACACTCTCCCATGGTGGTGAGGTGGTTCAGTCCCTCATCATTGCCAAGTCTGTCAGTGAATGTTCCTTCAGCTCCCTCATCCCAGGCCGTCTCTACAATGTGACCATAACTACCAGGAGTGGCAAGTATGAAAATCATTCCTTCGGCCAAGAGCGGACAGGTAAGGATGTGTGAAGACATAGAGCTCCATCAGAACCAATTAGCTGTGTGACCCAGGGCCTGACAAAACTGTAGTGCTTGGGAATGATAGGATGAAGCCAGTTGAAATCACAAAATTGTTGTGGAGTCTTTATATTTTGACCCAAGAAATTTCTTATATGAGCAAATATTACCATTACAGGAAGATTAACCTAGCTTTTGCATCTAGAATTCATGTGATAATCAAATAATGAAACAAGTATTTGTGTTTAGAGAGTACTTTTTCATTACTATGACCTGGCTTTATATACTAGATGACAATCCTTAGAAACTCCTTACTGAAGTTGCCATTATTCTCATTTATAAGAGTCGTACAGGAAGACACATTGTGATCTTTACATATGTGCTTACCATATGTCTTAGTTAAATTCACCCCCTCTATTATTCTCCCTCATTCCTACCTCCCCCCAGTCTTTGAACAATATCAACAGTTTTCCTTATTCTATTTTCATATATGAATACAAAATACATCTACCGTATTCACCCTCATCCCCCTTTTCCTTGTATTCTCCCCCTCCCTCGACTACTCACCCCCAAAGTTCAGGGAGGTTAAGTAACTTTCCTAACTCTTTACCTTGTTAATAGCCAGTGAGTTTCAGATTCTAGATTTAAACTTAGTTCTGATGTACTCCAGAGTCTACAAAGCACTCTGTTCTAAAATTCTTTCTGAAATATGTTTTGGTCAAGACTACTGTTCATTCTTTTTTTGCACAAGGTGAAAATGTGGACCTTTATAGTTCTGAGACTAGGGAGCAAAAATCTTAGCAAACGAATGTCAGGTCTTTTATGTGCTAGAACGAACTAAATATAGATAGCTAGCATTTTTTCAATACATTTATGCTTTCTGGGGTTTATATGAGAGATTTCTGCTTAAGGTTGACATCAATATTTTGTCAAGTCTTTCCTACTGAGTTCTGGGTTGATTTTTTCCCTTTAAAAATGTCTCTTTTGGGGGAGAGATGTAAGCCTATTTGGAATTGTCACAATGATTTCCTCCTAATAAAAATGAAAAAAAATGTCTTTTTCCATGAGGATCTGAAACACTTGGCATAGAGTCTGGGGCCTAGTAGGCACTCAGTATTACTAATCAGAAATCATCTGGGTGAGGGCTCTTCACCTGGGCCCATGGGTGGATTTTAGAATGTAGTAACCCCTGAAATTGTCCATGAAGTTGTTAGACATAAGAAAGGTATGTGCATTTCTTTGGGGAGAGAATCCATGACTTTTATAAGATTTCATAGTTTCTGTAGGCCCCAAAAAGTTAAGAACCACTGATTTACATTGTTACAGAATGCTCATATAGAAAGGGTCCTTAGAATGAACTAATCCTGTCTCCTCATTTGTATATAAAGGAAGTCCCAGCAAATGTGGATTCTCCAAAGTCATATGGCTGACCGGTAGCAGAGCTCAGTCATTACATCATGCCAAACCTGAGAGCACTAATCATGGATCTAGATTATCCCCACCCCCAAATAATCTAAATTCTTAATTATACTGATAATCACCATCAGGATATAGATCTGAAAAGCTGATTTCCTCTTACAAAGCAGACTTATGTCAATATCTCATATTGATCAGCTTTGAGTCTAAAGATCACTAGAAATTAAAGATATGTCACCCAACTACTCACCCTTGTTTCCCATCAATGCCAAATCATTACCATTCCCTATTCATATGAGTTTACTATTACAAGGCCTTTTGCTAAGATTGTTTCTTTGTTTTTGGCGGTACTGGGGTTTGAACTCAGGGCCTCATGCTTGCTAGCAGACACTCTACCACATGAGCCACTCTGTCAGCCCAAGATTGTTTCTAAATGTAAGAAAAGTGATTCTCTATTCAACTTACCAGCATGAACTTGGAATTGATGCATGACTAACAGAAGCAAATGATTTTAACTGGAGAGTCATGTCTAAGTTGTTGTCTTGTTGATTTTAACTGATTATCCTAATTCGCTTTTCCTTTTCTAATGCTCTTCTTCCACATTTTGGGTGAAAATACCAATATTTCCAATTTTGTGTCATGTTATCTCATGGTGAAGAAAGGCAGTTATCACAAATTACTTCCAGTTCCACCTGGAGAGCCCCTTATTGACTTAGAGTAGTATTCAGAGTAGTATTCAGCCTAGTTTTTCTTTCTGTAATAATAGCTTTGCCTTCAGTAAATTGCCTGGATCATTGACCTTTCTTACTCTATGCATACAGAGTCACTTCAGAACTTCTTATCTCCGCAGTAACTAAATTCTAGCACTGCTGTAACTGGTTTCAGACAAATATTATTTTAAAAATGCCTATCTTGTTCCATATCTGTGGTGAAGTTGTTATAACATAAACACAATCAGTAAATATAATCCAACAAAGGATGTTAATGCAATTCATAAATGTGAAAACCTTCATGAAAAAAATGTAGCTTAAATGCCAAAAACCCCTGAAAAAATGGGGTTGTTTTATGATGTGGGGGAAAGCAGAAGAGTCAAACATAGTTTTGGCACATGATTAGAGTAGAATCCTTTAACATACACCAAATGCATATAGAGGTTGCACAGGGCTGGACACAGCAGATATTGGGAACTCCCTGGACCAGAATTCAGGCCTCTTTCAATGCCTCTTCTCATGAATATTTATAACATCTGGTTAGAGCCAAATAGAAATGAATCTGTGGTCCACTAATGAATCAAAATTCATCCCCAGAAAAAAAAATAGAACATTCTTAATATTGTGCTTTTAATACAGAATTGCCTTATTTTATAGTATTTCTATCAGTATGCATTTATTCATTTTTTATTGGTTGAGAGGGAAACCAAGGGTAGACAGAACTGATTTTACATTTATTGGAAGGAACCTCAGTTGTACAAAACTGCACTAGTCATAATTCTAGGTTCAGAGTACTAATACTATGCAACAGTTGCCATTTTTGTACTTTAGGCATTTGGTTAGTAATTTTTAAGAATTTAAAATGTACATAAGAAACTGCAACCTGAAGTAAAAGCTAAGACATTAATAGTAGTCTGTATCAAATCTGTGCTCCCACCTCACTAATGCATCCCAAGGTAACCAATGTCTTGACTCATGTCCAACTCTCCCTGCTTTCCATCTTGTGTAGTTTTATTGCATCTATGTACAGTCATAAAATTATGTGTTTTAAAATTTTTAGTTATTTTAACATTGTAAAAATGTGGTATTTTAATCTTTTGGGGACAGATTTTTTTATTGATAAGATGCATTCATATTTTGTGCTTTGATGTTAAAAGCAAGTAATCCACTTTTTGTGTTTTGAGTTAATAAGAAATTATGACCATTATGTAATATTTTACTGTGTGTACATATAACAATGAATTATCACATCTCCTGTGGAAGGGCATCCTCTCCCACACTTGATTTTACCAGGTTTTCAACTTTTGCTGGTCAAATGAATATGAAATAACATTTCACTGTGGTCTTCACCAGCATTTCCTTGATCAATAATGATTTGCAGTATTTCTTTCTTTCTTTTTTTTTTTGGTGAGACCAGGATTGGAATACTTCTTTATATATTAATTAACCAAATGTGTTTCCTCTTCTTCCATTTTTCTTTTTGGGTGTTTATACTTTCCTTGGTAACTTTTTATTGCATCTTGAATTAGTAAGGTATGTTGCAATTACTAAAATCCTCACCATCCTTCATATTAAGCATCAGTTACAATGTTCAACATTTCTTTTGACATGTGACATCTTATGTAGGCAAACAATAGGATTAGAATACATTCATCAAATTCTTCTAAAAGATCCATTTAATCACTCCAAATAATGTACCAATCTTTCCTCTCCAGAAGTTTGTGATCTAGAAGTCTAAGGTTTCCATTTTAAATGCATACAATAAAAGTCTACTTACTTTCTTTTATCCTTCCAGTTTGTCATCTGTGACAAATTGCTCACTCAGAATCCTTCAGCTATTCTCTGTTCTCTTTTTCAGTGCCTGATAAGGTCCAAGGAGTCAGTGTAAGCAACTCTGCCAGGAGTGACTATTTGAAGGTGTCCTGGGTACATGCCACTGGAGACTTTGATCACTATGAAGTCACCATTAAAAACAAAAACAACTTCATTCAAACCAAAAGCATTCCCAAGTCAGAAAACGAGTGTGTATTTGTTCAGCTAGTCCCTGGACGGTTGTATAGTGTCACTGTTAGTACAAAAAGTGGACAGTATGAAGCCAGTGAACAAGGGAATGGAAGAACAAGTAAGTGGAATGATTGTAAAACTTGGTGATTTTAAAAAATCTTATTGGCATATAATAATAGTTGTACAGTGGAATACATTGTGCTTACAATATATCTTATCCCTTCCATCGTTCTCCCTCTTCCCGTCTTCCCCCTTTCTTAGAACAATTTCAGCTGGTTTCATTCTTACATTTTCATATATGAATACAAAATATATCCCCCATATTTGCCCTCATTCACCCTTTCCTTATGCCCATCCCCTCCCACTAGTACTCACCCCCAGAGAAGACCTATGCTACCCTACTGCCCTTCAGTTTTTTAAAGTGTATATTGATAGTCCAAAGGGGTTTCTCCTTGGTACCTCAGGCCCATATATATCATTAATCTCCGTTACTCCTTCCCTATCACAATGCTTCCCTAATATCTAACAGTTTTTAGTACATTATTTTATATTCATATATAGATGGGCTGTTTCAATATTTTTTGTTCTTTAGCATTTTGTTTCCCTCTACCACCTCCCATAGTCCTCTAAGACAGACTCACTAGTACAATTTTGTTCTCTCTCACAATATATACAAACAGATGCATATACGGTATATGTATGCATCTATGTATACATTTAACTTACAGGTTTACTTTCCACATTTGAGGAAAAACATGTGACCTTTGAGTTTTTGAGCCTGGCTTACTTGGGTTAGCATAATACCCTCTAGTTCCATCCATTTATCTGCAAACAACATAATTTCATTCTTCTTTATAGCTGAATAAAACTCTATTATACACACACACACACACACACACACACGTGTGTGTGTGTGTGTATCACATTTTCTTAATCCATCCATCAGTTGTGGGGCATCTGGTCTGTTTCCAAAGCTTGGCTATTGTAAATAATGCTGTAATAAACATGGGTGTGCAAGTGGCTCTATCATATCCTGGAACACATTCAACTGGATCTATGCCCAGGAATGATATCAGTGGATCATATGGTAATTCTGTTTTTAGGTTTTTGAGGGATCTCCATATTGCTTTCCATAGTGGCTGCACCTATTTACATTTCCACTCACAATGTAGAACTGTTCCTTTTCCCTCACATCCTCACCAGCATTAATTGTTTGTGTTATTGAACTTGGTGGTGATTGGACATGATGGTCACTGAGAAAATAATTTATCTGAAGCTTGACTTTTCTCTATTTACTGATTAGTAAATTACATTCCCAGTAAATCTCACTTGGATCTAACCTCGCTCAGACAAGTCATGGCTTATAATTACAGAATATTTATTGGTAGATAAAAGCAAGCATAGTGAGGGAGAAAGAAGGTCAAATATTCCATTTTTCTTCCTTGTCTTCCTGCATTCAGGCATTAAAATTCTAGACTTCTTGTTTTATCTTATGATTGAGATCATAACTCATTTTATAATTATTTTCTACCAACATGTAGCATATAAGATTTATGTCAGGAAAAAAATCACAATTTTAATAGTTGCTTCCAATTTTTCTTATTTAATTATGCATGAAGTAACTCAAGTGGTTTATTTGGAGAAGAGAGACGTTTGCCAATTCCTTGAATGTGATTCATAAATTATTGTGTAAGTAAACCTGATCAGTCTCTTTCCTGAAGTGTTTTCTCATTTTTTTCCCTAGTCCCAGAGTCTGTGAAGGACTTAACACTGAGGAACAGGACCACTGAGGACCTCCATGTGACTTGGTTACGAGCTGATGGAGATGTTGACCAGTATGAGATCCAGCTGCTCTTCAATGACATGAAAGTATTTCCTCCTTTTCATCTTGTAAATACTGCAACCGAGTATTGGTTTACCTCCCTAACACCAGGGCGCCAGTACAAAATTCTTGTATTGACCATCAGTGGAGATGTACAGCAGTCAGCCTTCATTGAAGGCTTAACGGGTAATTTGAAATATTGTTCTTGAACCTTAGTACATACAGGGGTGTATTTAACATATTAGGTAGCCCATGTATTTCTATTAAGATTTGGAAGAGTAAAAGAGAGATGGCAAGAGGGAAAAAGTTATCTTGATAGTGACAGTAACCTTATCCAAGTAGAATCAACAAAAATGAAATACATTATCGAGGAGCTAAGAGGGCTTTGAGAGAAGTAATATTGAATTAATGTGCTTAGCTGGTGCTTGTGAGACATGCAGATTATATTATATATTTATGTATTTTAATAAATAACTCTCCTATGGGGTTTTCCATTTTGGGTGCTTTAAGAGTGTTGCTGTACTAGTTGATATTTATTGACAGTTTGCCATGAACCAGACTCACAGTAAAGCATTTTATGTCTGTATTTTGATCAGTTTTCACAACTGTATGGACTGGTTACTATTTCATTATTGTCATTTTTCTTATGGGGAAAAAAAATGCATAGAGGTTAAATAATTTGCCTGTCATCACACGGCTACTAATGAGAAAACCAAGACTTGGACCAAGGCAATCTAATTAGCCCTTGCTATGCTGGCAATCTTTATTTCCACTCATTGACCTTGACCTTCCTTTAAACATTCCCTCATCAACTTTAGTTCATGTAGAAAAGTCAAGGAAAAAAAGGCAAATTGATTCTTTTTTCGTGTGTACTGTTTCAGTAGATGACAAAACCTAAAAAAGCATGACTTTTTTTTTTTTTTTGGTGGTGCTGGGGATCAAACCCAAGTCCTTGTGCATGCAAGGCAAGTGCTTGCCACTGAACTATACCCCCAACCCTGCATGAAAACTTTGGTTGAAAATTTTCACAGTTCATTCTCTAAATGATTGCCTTTAAATTTATTTTCTTTTTCAGTTCCTAGTGCTGTCAAAAATATTCACATTTCTCCCAATGGAGCAACAGATAGTCTGACGGTGAGCTGGACCCCAGGTGGTGGAGATGTTGACTCCTATGTGGTGTCAGCGTTCAGGCAGAATCAGAAGGTTGAGTCTCAGACTATTCCCAAACACATCTCTGAGCACACGCTCCACAGACTGGAGGCCGGGGAACAGTATCAGATCACTATTGCTTCTGTCAGTGGGTCCCTGAGAAACCAGATAAATGCAGTTGGGAGAACAGGTAAGCACCCACCTGGAGAAGGGTCAAATTATAGAGTGTTCTATAATTCTCCATAATAGAGCAGAGAACAGACTTAGCTATTCACAAATCAAAAAAAATCTAAATTTAAAACCACCTAAGCCTTGTATGCACATATGAATAATAAAAGAAAAATGAAAAAAAATAAAATAAAATAAAACCACCTAAGTTTGTACACTTTACTGTGGTATCGAGACCCTTTCTTATTTTTAATTTATATTTTTCACTTTTAGTAGAGATTTTCAAAACAAATGAAAGGTAACTGGAAACCAAAACGTTTGAATATTTATACTCGCTAAAAGACATTAAAAATTTTAATTTTAATAAGAAGACCTCATAACTATGCATCTTTCAAAATTTCACCCTTTTCTCAAAATTCTTTTAAGAAAAAAATACACTTGTACCATTGACTTTATCTGTTAGCTAAATAACACATATCAAAGGAATAAATACTGCATCTATTTATTTAATATCATTATTACTATATTAGTTTTTAAACAAAAATAAGTGCCTGCAATATATCAGGCATTTAAAATGATAGCTATCAAACTACAAGATAGAGATCACTGTCTCCATCTTGAGATGAGAAAAGTAAGGCTCTGAACATTTATGATACGTTACCAAGGATACATGTAAATGAGACCTAGAACTATAATTCAAATCTAGGTCCATTTGTCTCTAAACCTCATATTGTCTCTACTGTGATATACTCTATAGATGTTACCCATTCTCATAACCACTTATTTAATTGTGGGGCCTGGGCCTTCTATGCTGTGTCCTACTCTGTTTCATACCTTCGGCTATACTATACACCTGTGACCTTATGTCAAGCACTGTGTTAAAAAGCAGGAATTCAGTAGCAAGATAGAGTCACTGACCTCAACCACCTTATAATCTAGTGAAGAAGCAAATAGGCAACTACTGTATAAACTGGTAAATGCAAAATAAAAGTAATTATGGAATATTGTAGGAGCAAACAGAAGAGTCAGAGAAAACTTCCAGGGGGAAATAATATTTAAATAGAGACTTAGAAGTCTTCCAGGTGAGGTATATAAGTAGACTTGGTTCCAGAAGAGAAAGCAAAGGCCTGGAGATAGGAGAAAGCACATCACAATTAAGAATCTATGTGCTACTTAGTATGCTAAAGTAAAATGTGAGCCGTGTAGTCAAGTATGACATGACCAAGTCATGACGATCCTTGTGTGCCTGCTAAAGCATTTTAGAATTTCAGAGAACCACTGGAGTACCCTTAGCATGGGAGTGTTGTGAGAAAATGCTAGGTATGATTGGAGTTTGAAACAGTGAAAGTAATGAAGCAAGAGGACTGGTCAAGAAAGAGGCTGTTTTAATAAGGTAGACATGAGATACTGTTGTCCTAAGATGGTGACAGGAGACAAGGAAAAAGGACACAGAAATTTTATGATTTATGTGATTATATGTAGGAGGGTGACTTGGGCCAAGAGATAGAAACAAAGGATGGTAAGAGAGTTGAAGGAAGGAGCTGAGTGTGATGGCACATGTCTGTTATCCCAGCATTCAGAAAGCTGAGGTAGGAGGATTGAGGGTCCAAGGCCATCCTGTGTCCATAGCAAACCTAAGAGGTGGGGGGGGAGGAAAAGGAGGGGGAGATAGAGGGAAAGAAGGAGAGAGGGAGAGAAAGAGAGGAAAGGAAGGAAGGAAGGGAGTTGGGGGAAGAAAATGAGGAATACAAGTTGAACTTCTTAAGTGTTAGGTGTCTGTAAAACATCCAGAGAGAGATGCAATTTGCAAAACCAGGAGAGAGATCTCAACTGAAAGTTTAAATTTGGGCATCATCCATATAGGTGAGAACCAAATCATGGGCATGCATTAAATCTCTAAAGAAATTATGTAGAATGAGAAAAGAAATCTAGAGCAGACAGTATTATTAACTAATAATATTATTTTGCCCTTCACATCAGGAGCAATAGTACAAATATTATTATATACATTGCTCACATCAAGCTTGGAAGCTTTGACTCGAGTTAATGTCACTAATAAAAGTCTAAACAAAATCCACAGTTCAGTCGTCCAAACTATTAATTGCATGTAAGTTTACTCAGCATCTTATAGTTTCTCAATACACAGTTAGGCATCATTCTGCATATTTCAGGGTCACTTTCACATAGCATTTCTGTCTGTTTAATTTTAAGACCCTGTCTACATTCAGAGAAGAAAACCAAAGTAGTTATTCAGATTATTCAAGTCTAGAAATACTTGCTTCTCTTGGCTCCATAAGGACACATAGAAACTGTCAACAAATAAAGCAGGGATAATGTCTTTTACCAGCAGTTGATTTAAATCAACTGTACCCTAAGTGATGTAACCTCAATTTTCTTGCTTCCCTTGTTTCTTTGTAGTTCCAGCATCTGTCCAAGGAATAATGGCAGACAATGCATACAGCAGTCATTCCTTAATAGTAAGTTGGCAAAAAGCTGTTGGTGTGGCAGAACGATATGATATCCTGCTTCTAAATGAAAATGGGATTCTTCTAAGCAACACATCAGAGCCAGCCACTGCTAAGCAGCACAAA